GCGGCCGGGCAGGGGCGGCCCCGGGGGCACAGGTTGGCGGCTGCCAAGGCGGGGTCGGCTGGCGGCAAAGAACAGGGGCTTTGAGCGCTCCTGTGTTCTCGGGGCTTAGGAGTTGGTATCCTTGCTGGATCTGGCAAGCGCCCCCCTGAGGGTCTTCAATCTTTTGAGCCGACAGAGCAGTAGGGCAGGCTTTTCCTTATGGCGGGTCCGGAGAGTTTGGAAAGTGGGGTGTGTGAAGTTGGAAAGCAGCTGGAAAGCGCTGGGGTGTGAACAAGCCCGCCCCTCTCCGCCAGCGGACTCACCCGTATTACCTCCTTGTCCTCGTTCCATAAGGAATAGCTGCGAGGTCCGAAACTGTTGTGACTGCTGTCCCTCTTGGCGCTTTCATGGGAGCCAACGCGGCAGAGGACACCAGTGTCCAGCCGACAGGTGGTCGTCGATGCTAAACTTCAGCGCCTGGCTCTGGAGTGAGGGGCTCTGAGAAGGGCTGCGGAGGACACACCTGAGGAGGGCTAGAGAGCCGAAGGAGGGGCTGTGAGGGGTCGAGGAGGACTCAGTGGACTTGCAGGCAAAGGGGGGAGAGCTAGTTTTTGAGAAGTGAACTGCCTGGAGTCTTCAGCTTGAAATACATTTGTTAAGACATTCTCCCACAATTTATCACATCTTTTCTTGCCTGGTGGGGCAGAGCTTAGCCCAGCCACCGATTTCCATTGTTTCACATGAGCCCTGGACCCTAGGACTTCAGGTGATTCCTCCTAACCCCCACCCCTCAATGCCTTCAAACATTTAAATTAATCTTGCTGAAAACACGGGAATCTTCAAATGTAGGATATTACTGTATCAATGATTCTGAGAATCATTCAAAAAGTTTGACAAGAACAACCCACTGGAATAAACCTGAGCTGCCAGAATCTAAGGAAATTTATGTCCAAATGACTAAGACATCTTGAACAGGGGGAATTATTGGAGAATGGGGCATACTTCTTGCTGAAAAGATTTTCCACCTAGTAAATTATAGCCCATTATCCTCCAGGGTATTTTTCTTTAATCTTCTTAAGCCATTTTCCAATGTCTGAAAACAATTTAAATATTCCAGGTAGTGAATCCAATTACTTAGCTGAGCGGGTCTGTGTGTATATTTTGTACACTTGAAAGTGCAAATGAAACTTAGAGTATGAGCCATAGCTTCCTTGAAAGCTCATGCCAATTATTAAATGCTGTATGCTAGTACGTAAACATGCATCCTTTTACTGTGGGCTTCACAGTTTTCTCTTTCTGTTTCAGTCTAATGACTGGATGTTTTTGTAAATGGAATAGAATCTAAACAATAAGTTCAGACACAGATTAAATGCTTTGTTTGTGTCAAGGGAAAACAAAAATATAAAATGCAATTCAATTCAACAAGTAAAGCAGTCCAGCCCATCTTGAGATCCTCAAATAGAGAGCTAATGTGATGATGGATTTACTGAGAAAGAGAATGAAAGGGCATAAGGAAGAGAGAAAGAGACTTTGAAGAATAAAAATGGATATTCCAGCATAAGCTCGGGATTTATTCACGGTGACAATTTTTAACTGTATTTTAAATAATTCTCCAGAATGTCTTGTTTGGAGGAAAATATCCAGTGTCACTTTGAAAATGAAAGTCTTCTGTGGGAACACATTTTAACACATTCAAGTAGATGATTTTTATTATTTGCATTTGTCACATATATTTCTTCCATACCTGCCAGTGCCAGGCCTGACTAAATCCTGGGGTGGTGAGGAAAATAGACAGAATCCCTGCTGGTACAGAACTTACATGCTAGGTGGAGGAGGCAGAGGATTATCAAGAACACCACTGATTACAGAGAGGATAAGTGGTACAATGAGAGTAATAGAGGCCACTAGTGAAACACCACCTGAAGGAAGTGAGAAGCACTTCTTCTGAGCAGTAGAATCTCTGATCTTTTATAAGGGAGATCTTAAACTTCACCCAGGTGTCACATTATCTGAAATAAAATGAACCATCCTACAAGTTTCTTGACTCTCTTGGCTTTCCATGGTCATCTGTGGACTAAGAGGGATCTAAACTTTCTTAGGCTGCCTGTATCCTCCCCAGGTGTCATCTCTCTACTCTTCCTTATAGAATCAAGCCAGTTTAGGTGATATGGCTAATTATATTGCATCTTAGTGAGACAGTATGTGGAAGACAAAAGAGAACTAGATCTTGAGTCCAAAGGCCTGGGTTTACCTGCTGGTTCTTTTTCTGGTCAGCTGTGTGACTTTATGTTAATCAGTTAACCTTTCTGAATCTTTGCTGCCTCTTGTGCAAGACTGAGAAAGCTACATTTCCTACCTATTTCATCTAGTAGTCCAGAGTAGCCAACAGGATAAAGCAGCACTTCTCACACTTGAGTGAGCATCAGAACAACTGGAGGGCTTGCTAAGAGATCATTGGGGCTCACCCTCATTTCCTGAGGTCATAGGTGAGCCCTGAGAATCTGATTTTTTCACAAGGTCTTGAGTGAGTCTGATGCTGCTGGTTTGGGGAACCATAGTTTGAAACCACTGAGATAAGGTTTGTGAAAGAACTTGTCAAGTGTGATTGAAAGATAGCATAATCTGGTTGGCTTGTATAAATTTTCACTGGTTTGGGATTTAATTTTATCTCTGTTTGCATTTTGAGAAATTCATTCAGTTGTTACCTAAGAGGTAGAAAGACCTTAAAGACATAATCCCGGACAATCCTGTCTCTGCTGCCCAGGATGGCTTAACTCACATTTATTTTTTTATTTTGAATTTCTTATATGCATGGAAAAATTTTCAGCATTTCACCTGCTTCCAGTGTGATTGTAAGAAAGGGATAGGAAAGAGAGAGAAGACTCTTAAGAGGCTGTCTAGTCTGATTTCCTGCCTTTGAGCAGGGGAGGCCTTTTGACCCTGACTTTGGAAAATACCTGCTGCTGTCTGCCCCAGGGGTGCATTGGCATCTGCTTGTCTAGAGGAAAAGTAAATGCTGGAAATAACTTAAAATTTTCTTAAATATCCGATCTCATTTAAAAATTATAGAACCCTGCTCTCTGGTCTATAAGAGGAAGGCTTGGAAAACTCATAAAATATTCTCAGTAGCCCATTAAAAAGCATAAGGGTACATTTGAAAATGAGTTTGGGGCTGTTTAGAATTGTGAAAAGACTCTCTCTTATTCCTTGAGTGGTTAAGGCACTGTAATTGTCCTGAACACCATATGGAATTGAAGATGTCACCCGGGAGTTGCCATGCCCTGCATAATCTGTTGGCTACCTATTGTAGCGATGTCATGGTGACGCTGTGGATGCTCTAAGGGTGGTAGTCACAATCTTTGACATAGATACTACCCATCACGACAGACAGCTGGTGGATCATGGAGCAGGAGTGGGGTCCTGGAGATACCCTGTTGCACCAGGGCCAGGCATCAACTTTTCTTTTGCCTGATCATGGAGAGGTCTGGGAGTCCCCAGGATCTGTGGAGGCATATGTTTGAACAATTAGTAATGGTGTATACATTCTGAACACCAAGGCCAAACCTTGTCCTCCAGAACTTGGCCAGCTGGACTTACCTACTGTGGCTACCTGTTTCACCAGTAATACCAAAGGATGCCACTTTATCCTTGCTTTTATTTTGCATTTGTTTATTATCAGGCTGTGCTGATGGGAGGGGGTTGTAAAGGACTGTGGCCACTATGGGAGATTTCTGGTAAGATGGACAGTAGTAGAAGGGGTTACTTTATCTCAGTTAGGGAGCTTGGGAGACTGTGAGTCTGGCTCTTCTTGTTTTTGGTGCTTGGCCTTGCTTTGTATTGGACGTTTTAGTATAAAAACCATGCAGGAGGCCTCCCAACCTGATTTGCTCTGTTTAACATCTGGGGACCCTGTATCTTTGTTCCACCATCTCTGGGGCATGGAAGTCTTCTCATCTGTTTGTTCCTTCTCTTTCTCCACTCTCATTTTCCAAATTCAGATCTCAACTGTGAGTAAGTTACTTAATGCATTTGAACCTCAGTTTCTTCATCTGTAATGTGAGGATTGTAATATTTCCTGCTGCATGGAACAGCTGTTAATGTTAAGTGAGTGAAGGCATAGGCATTGCTTTGTGTAATGCCTGACACACAGGAAACCCTCAATAAAACATGCTTTTAAAAGTTATTGTCTCCCCAGTAGTTAGAGGGCCATGAATTTCATCAAAGTGGTCAGTATGTGTTAGATAACTCTTTTATTCGATGAGTGGGAAGATCCATACCTTCCTTCCATTCCCTTTAAGTGCTTTGATTTTCATATTTTATAATTGGAAAAGAAAAAAATTCAATTTTTTTATTCTTTTTTAAAAAGTTTAGGTGATTCAGAGAAAATGAATCTAACATAAAAGCAGGTCAGTTTGTAAAATATCCAAAAATTTGCTTCTATTTAAATTCCTTAAAAAATATATATTTACATATAAATATATATGTGTATGTGTATACATATACATATATATAATCTGCAGTAGGATCACTGGTATGACTCATGGAAGGAGGAAACAGTTAAACAAAACTCTTGTAATTTAGCAAGAATATATGCGTATATATTTATAAAAAATCTTATATCATACATCCTGTCTTGCAAATATAATCTAACATTCAAAATTCATAATTGCTAGGCTGGCTTGGTTGCTTGAGAAGAAGGCTAAGGAAGCTCAGAGGTTTAGATTTGCATTAATGTTCTGTGGATTTAAAATAAGTAACTCCCTCCTCCCTCTCTCCACCACTCCCCCGACCCAAAAGCCCCACATCTAAAATAGGTAATAATAATAAAAACATGCTAGTATATTGGAAATTTTCCAACATCCTACATTAAAGCTTAGTTAGAACTTTTGCATTGTATAGAAGCTGCAGTTATATTTTCCAAAATGATGAC